AAAGCTTTGCTGTCCATGCACAACTCCCAAGCAGGGTCCTCCTGTACATGGTGGTCCTGCATCTTTGCCCAGTATTCAGGCAATCCCCATCCTGTGGGATGTGCAGGCTAAAGTCCAAGGGCAGAAAGTGTTACTTTGCTCTATGAACCCTTCCCTTCCCCATTGACTTAGACTGCACTTTGCTCCTTGTTGATAGTGGGGAGAGGAGGTTTCAGGCACTCCAGAGGCCCAAGTGGATTCTCACCAGAGGCAATGGGTGGGCTGTCCAGATGGAAGAAACTGAATAGGGCCCTGAAAAAAAAAAATTATTTGCTCTCGATTGCAGAGACCTGGCTTCAGTCTATAAACAAGGGAGGCAGGGTAAATCTGAGTGTTAAGGCTCCTAGACTCTGTCTCTGATTTTAGGGCCAGTCCTTGGCTTTAGTGTGTCAGTTTCCCCACTTGCATTTTTTAGACCCGGCCAAAGAACATCTGTAAAGCACTTTGTGCTTCCAGATGAACAAGCCTAGTGTTGTTAGAGTGAAGGAAGGGCAGTGGTAACTGGGGATGCACCTGCTAGCTGAAAACAACCCTGGTAGAGCAGGTCACACCGGAAGAGTAACAGGGTGAGGAGTGTGGACATCTCTTTAGGCACCCAGTGGCCCCTGTTTGTTTGCCCATTTATGCTGCAACTGCACAGAAGAAAAGCTTTGCAAACAGGAGCATGTCACTTAAGACTACAAAGGCCAGGTGACACTTTGTAAACTGAGCATCAACAGGAAGAAGAGAACAAATACCAGTCTGATCTGAGCAGAGGAGGGATTTGGGAAGTGCCACCTCCTTCCTGCACTATGGTTCCCCTAGTGTGCTTGCAGCCTCCTGCCTGCTTGCTGATAATGACAGACCGGTCACCGGACCAGCTGTGCTTGAGAAGGGGCTGGAGCATGCTGTGGGCTCACACTGTGACAGAACTGCTAAAGAGGGCCTTGCTGCAGAACCTTTAGTCCTGGTGATGGTGTAAGAACAGAAGCAGCAGCCTGCTCCATTTCCAAATGCACCCTGGAATCTGCAAATGCTGACCCGGGGTGGGGATGCATGTTATCTGAGCAAATCTGATCTAGAGCAGGTTTGCAGACACCACCATGGGGAACCACAGCACAGGGTGGCCAGGCACATGCCAGGAAGGAGAGTCAGGGATGGACAATTCCACAGAGATGTGCCCACAGGGGAGGGTCCTTCAGTATCTTGGCAGAAGGAATCTCTGAGACAACCAGGGAAGCACACAGCAACCCTCCTCAAGAGGGAAGGGGAACCCCAGAGAAATAAGAGGCCGAAGTACCAGCCAGAATATCAATAGAAATACAAATTTATTCTCTTTCCAGAGCAGAAATGGAGAGAAGCCAGTGAGGACAGAACCAAACAAATGGTAACTCCAGTGTTAGCCACTTTGTTCCCCTCCCAGCTCCATCCCAGTGCAATAACAGAAATCCTGACTTTGCTCATGCACAGCACAACTCTGCATGTGCTGGAGTGTCCCAGAGGAAGGCATAGCCAGTCTAGGTCAACCCTTTACGCAGGCACAGGGCTTGCGGAGGGACAGAGATCTCTGATCCTCTACTGCTGCCCTTCCAGTAGAGGATGAGAGAAAGACTCTGAGGGGCAGAAGGAGGAAGCTCCAGATGGGCAGAAAATTGGAGTCTATCAACTTTAAACAGTGACTTTATAGTGAGTCCCCTGCTGTTACCTTTATCCAGCAGGAAGTCTGCATCAGGGCCTAGACTCGCACTCACAGCAAGGAGAAAACGTTTGAAAGTGAGGAACCAAATACAGGTTTGGCAGAAGGGAATTAAGAGCCCCTGGATGACGCAGGGCAGGTTTGAGGGGGCGGAATGCCCTGAGTGGGATGGATAGACGGCAGAGTGCAGGGAGTGCCTGGGGCCAAAGCAGCAAGTACCAGGTGGCAGTGCTTTAGTAAAGCCACAGGAAGCACTGCTGGGCAGAGCATGCCAGCCCCTCACACCAGTTTTACTTCATTGTCTAGGCACCAACTTGCTCAGTGGAACAATAAAGAAACTTACTGTGGAGCTCAGCTCCTGCACATGCTAGTGCTGTCTTACTTCGAGCTCTTGCTCGCATCCTGAGGAGGGAGGTCACAGTGGAAGCTGCTAACCCATTTTTGGAGGTACTTTTGCCCTTTTTCCTTCTGCAGCTCCACACCAGGGCCACCTCCAGCCAGCATCTCATTCAGATCTGCCTTTCTCCTCTCAGAACAACAAATAGGCCTGTTAGCACTTTCCAACAGACAGAAACATCTCCCAGCCCAGCCAGCTCCCCACAACGGGGTGATTCCAACTCAGCAGGCCACTCAGCCTGGACCTCCACAGCTTAGAGAGCCAAAGGACCCTGTGGGGATCCTCATGCCCTGGTCTGCTTTCAGTGCTCTAGGGCTCTGAGATTTGTGCTCTCCCAGCAGACAGAGCACAGGGGAGCAGCCCTGGTTCTGCACTTGCTTCTCTTGCCTAGTGCCCGAGCCAGGCGAAGGAGGCAACATGGAAAATGTCCTCCTCCGTCCCTGTCTGGATGAAGCACAGCCTGTTTCTTCTGCAGGCACTGGTTGACTAGAGCTCTGTAAAGGCACAACGCAGCTCCCCCTCAGTGAGCAGCAACCACTCGGTTCAGGGCTCCCAGGAGATAGAGACCAATCAGCAGGGTGTGAGCATCTCTCAGGCCTCTGGAAGTGCAGAGCTCAGAGGAGCATTCTTCACAGCCTGCAGCAGTATCTCCCCTGCCCAAGCTTTCTGCAGTGGTCCCAAGCAACCACCAGGTTGTCTCTGAAGCAAACTGTGGCAGGAAGTGCTCTTGGGCTGCTGCTCAAAATGTTTTTGGCAGGGAACACGTCTGCACAGCCCTTCACAAATGCTTTTTTGTCACTCCTAACACATGGTGCCTTTAACTCCCTGCAACAGCCATGTTAGCACACCACACAACCCTCTGAAGCTGGCCTAGTACAAGACAGTCCAGCACATTTTGCCACTCAATACACAGCAATAAGCTAAATATAAACATGCTACAGCAAGGCCAATACCAGAATCCACCCCCCCTCTAATACAAAACGTGCTACAGCAATCCTAACAACCTACAGTTCTTCCAGGGAGCAACATAGAAGAGCAAGCCACGGTGCTACTAATGGAGACCAAAAATCCACAAGACTGTCAGTGCACAATATCAGCACAAGTCACTGCAACTCCACTGCACTACAAAAAGCCATATACCACATAATCCACAACACACGGCACCAAACAAGACCCACAGCATTACACCTCTACTACACAATACATCAAACGTAAGTGAACAAAGACCTTCCAACACACAGCACACTACTTCAAAGTGAACATAACAGTGCCTTCGATGCACCACAGTAAAGGAAGTCTACTAGTCTGCACCATACTTTGGCAATCCTAATGTCATCTACAGCACCTTTGCTACACAAGGTCAAACAGCAGCAAAAGCCAGAACTTTTCCAAACACAAGTCCAAGAGTCATGCAAGGTCTCCATGATCTACACCATTTTGGCCATGGAATTCTGTTAGAAATGCCTTGTGACATAACTTTTTGGAGAAACAGCAGCCCTAACACAGCCTACATACAACATTCTACCCTGGTCTTCACAAACCTTTCCATCTGGCTAAAACAATTCAATCTTATTGCTTCACAGCCTACAACCTCCATTAGAGCAATAAAGAGAGAACATTTCACTCCTTTCCCAACTTGTTCCCACTGCAGAATACTTCTCAGCACCTGAACTCCACAGC